ATGGTAGCATTTACTGGATATTGTTTTATAGTGACATTATACAGGAAAACTCTGTCATTCAATAAGGCCCCTTTGTTTTAGTTATTTTTCTCTTTGACCCAAGAATTGATGTGTGAGAATCACAGGCTGGTACAAGGTTGAAATACCACAGAGATCACTCCCTCAGCTACATTAGTTTCTTAATCTTTTAGACGCCTGTTGAAGGCCAAATGGTTTGTTTCAGATTTCACTAATGAAAGAACTCTTTGTTTTGTGCCTTGAAAATATGTCGCTGAGATAATCACAATTGTAGCTGAACTGATAAACTACACAAAGGATGCTTCTTCACCCATGGGCAGGAAGACGCTGCCTTATCTTGGTCTGTACTGGTTTAAACTGATAATCTGCTGTCTCATGAATTTTACCCTCTATATAAACTGTTATACTTGTGAATAAAGTTGAGTCAATTTGGGAAGACAATCTGAAGCAGTCTCTGTTTTCTTGTTCTCCCAAGCTGCTCCCGAGCTCGTACTAACACGCTGAATGGCATGCTTGAATATTACTTGAGAATATATTTGACTGTGTTACAGACTAAGGGACATTCTCTGCTGATAGGTGAAGGTACATTCTCTGCTGATAGACGTCCACGCCTCGAAGGAAGTCGATCCACGGATTAGGCCCTGGAAACTGTTTCCTTCAGTTATGATGGACCTCTCCCATCCCAACAATGGACTCTTCTCACTGTTGAGGTCTGGGAAGCGCTTCCGCTCCCTTAAGGCCAAAACAGAGAGAATGAGGAGGAGCTTCTTCCACCAGGCTATTCAGGCCCTGAACCAGGTGTAGGACTGGACTCTCCCACACACATCACATCACCACACACACCACCACACATTTCCTATAATTTATAATCTTTATAATCTCTTTCTGCTGTTTGCACATTTTTTACTGTAAATTCCTAAGTTAATTTGTAAATTTTGTAGTAACCTGTAAATTGTAAATACTGTAAAACCTTTTTTCTGTCATTTAATGGTCGGGCATTGTACAGCTACAAGCATTTCACCCCCATGTCATACTGTGTATGGTTGTGTGTGTGTGACAAATAAAATTTGAATTTGATTATATATATATATATGTATGAAATATAAGACTTTCACTTCTTTGTTGAGCAGACATTTCCTGGAACTAATCCCCTCAGCAGTGGATGTTTGTATATATTTGCTTAGATTTGTTTAGAGCAGGACTTTGTTTGGCACGTCTTTTCCTCTCTGGCGTGGAGTACAGGAAAGAGACTATCTGCAGCATTTTCACTCCACCTCCTATCCACCCCAGCCAGTCTTCTTACACTGGGGTCAAATTTAGTAGCAGTGCCCCCACCCCCTCCATCACCCTTGAAGTGGTTCTACAATCCTGTGTGGGTGTAATTATGATGTCCTCCTCTTAGGGGTGTGGTGGAGTACAGAAATACAGCAGCTTATTTTCGCAACCACTTTTTCTCCGCCCTCATATCGCCTATCTTCCTTGAGATGTGGGTTTTCCTGGGTGAGCGTTGCCTTTCCAGGATTCCAAGACTAATGATGAAAATCCTCCTTAATAACAAGGCACGGAGGACCACCCATTTGACATGTTACTTTGCCTTTTCTTTAGTTAAAGTTTAAGAAGAGGGCCACAGAAATAGATCCAGACTGCGCAGCTGGAATCATATCCCCATCATCTCACAAAATCATTAAAACAGAATGAAAACATAGCTCAATAAAGTATAGCTGTAATGACACCAGGCAGGTTTAAATACATTGAGGTGACACAGAATCTAATTGTAGTATCAGATACATACATTAGTCAAATTATGATAGGCCAAATGTTTAGTCATTCAATTTTATTGTATGCTTAGTCATGGCTATCCTGTTGATTTAATCTCATACTGGCTTTAATAAGGTTTTTATGTGACATGACCCTCCATACGTGACAAATATAAAATAGTGTGTACATAAATTGTTGATAGAGACTTAAAATGATTTCAGTAGGTGATTGTGCTGTAAAAACGTGTCTCTGCAAGAACAACAGTAAAGGAAGTGCTCATCAAAATAGTTGTTGTGTGTGTGTGTGTGTTTGTGTCTAGCTTTCTTTGTGAGGACAGAAATCTGCATTCTACTATCCTTGTGAGAACCAACAGCCATGTGTGTGTGTGTATCTGTGACTGTGTGTCTGTATATTGGAGGGGGATTGGGTGGATTATTGTGTTTTTAAATCAACAGAACCCTAAAACCAGCTTTATTTCAGTTCTAAGTGATGCAGACCACATGATTGATATTGACCCCTGTTGTTGCCCATTTATGAATAAAAGGTCTATCATTTTTAAGGTAAAATTTTGAAAAAAATAATCATAATCATAATAAAAAACATGTTAATCTTGAACAATTATGTTTACTATCTAATAAAACATCACAGGTGAACAGGTTTGCGTCCACCTATATAACTGTATCAGCCGCACTGAACAAAGAGCCAGTTTGTGCCAGCTTATCTGAGATTTGATAAGAGGAATCACCCTTTTATTTTGTCTCTGATTGCACCACATCAGCAGTCATACAGGATGACTCATTTCTTTGCGAGCAGACCATTCAGTTTGTGTTTTTTAACTGATGGCGTGTCTCATTCTCATCGTTAAACTCACCGTCAGACTCTGACAGGGCTTAGATTGCTCACCTGGTTGAGCAGGTGAGCCATGAACTGAAGGTAAGAGCTCTTACTGAAGGGGGCTGGGTTTCAGTCTACCCCAGACCATTTCCTTTGTGTCATTCCACCTTTCTCTCTACTGTCTGCACTGCCCCATCCAATAATGGTGAAAGGACTCTATTCTGGAAACTCTTTCTTTGTGATTTTCCAAATCTTCTTTCTGAACTAAAATCTCTGAGGTTCTTTGAGCAGAGACTCTTTTTTACAATCTTGATTGGTAAGGAGCCACAAAACAATTTTATTTGTTATGTCTGATGCCTGATTTACAGCTAGGATAGAGTGTGAGAAGATAGATAATGGTTGCTGTAAAACAGAGGGTAACGTGCAGGAATGCTGGAGCAAATACGTGCAGGTACTTTAAATATAACAATGTTGGAATCTTGTGCAGGAATAGCAAGTACATTGAGGTGAAACACAGTAATTAGAGGTGTGAAGTCAATGAAAATGTGCTATTTGATATATTCTTCACAGAACGTGAGCCAAAGGCAAGGAATCTGAGATTGAAAAATCACTTTTTTTCATAAACATTGAAAATAGGTCCCACACAATGGTAGTAAGTAAGCCAGAAATCTAAAATCAAGTTCACTACATAATATAACCAAATCAATACAGAAATCAGAAACCACACAAATACAGTGCTTTATTGAAGAATTTTTGAAGTGGTCTTGTGCAGTCGTTCTTCAGTCTTCCTAAAGATTTTTTTCTTTGGACATTGGTTGTATTCACACACATTTGCAGTTCACTCCTTTAACCTGATCATTTTTAGAGGAGTGCCTATTGTTTGTTCATTTGTTAAGTTACAGAAGAACTAGACCTAAAACAAAAGCTATCAGCAAACAAACAGTATCCGAAAGTCATGCTCTCAATAACCAGGACAAAAATCCAGCCAACACCCTACACGGGACCTGGGATGTGGATCTGGCCCTCTGGTTGGTCCATTTATTGTTCCCTGAAGCTTCATTACAGATGCTCTCAATGGCTGTTAAGAAGTCATTCTTAAGGAAAGCAAATATGGAGTAAAGGCAGAGATATGCCAAATTACATAAATTAAACTGGACTGAAAAGAAGTGCTAACAGATCTTATGGACTCATGAATCCAAATTTGAAAGTTTTAGTTCAAGTCATCATTAATATGTCAGGAGAGAGTTACAATGGTGAGTGCCTACAGCTATCTATAAAACACAGTGGAAGTCTGGGACTCCATTTCAGCCAGCTGTGTTGGGGATCCTGTCAAAATTTATGGAATTGTAAATTTAGAAAAGTACAATCGTATTTTGATTCACCATGTTGTACCATCTGGGATGTTTCTGACTGACAATGGTTTAATTTTACAGCATCATAATGATCCCAATGCAGTAAAAGCATGCCTGGACAGAAAAACACAGAGCAGCCTCCCTAGACCTCAACACCACTGAAGCAGTGTGGGATCACAGAGGAAGGAACAAAAGGTTCCCAGTATCCAAAAAGAGCTTTGAACACGTTTCAAGAAGCCCAGAGAACTATTCCCGAAGACTACTTAAAGAAACAATAATAAAGCTGCCTAACAGAGTTCAGGCTGTGTTGAAGAATAAAGGTTGTCGCACCAAAGCTTGTTACAATTGTATAAACTGTTTATGCCTTATACATGCTGTAATTACCCAGTTATATTTGCACATTTCAATAAATGGTTACACACATTTCTTGTTTTTCCTCCCAAAATAAAATGAAATAAAATGTGCCTCAAGTCTTTTGCACAGGACTGTATATCCAGAGAATCTCAAACCCCCAGCACAATGAAAAACACCAGAACATTGACTATACTAATCATTGAAGCCTTTTAGTACTACCTGTAAAGATGACAGGTTGTTGTAAATAGGTGGAATAGATTCAATTATATCCAGCAAACAAAACAAGATGCCCATTACAATGTGCCGCTTAACACATGTGCATAGATATAATGATCTCATTCTAAACAGGGAACTTAACTATATTTGTCCTAATATTTAGAATGAATGTGCTTCCCCCTATTGTTTTATTTTTCCGTATTGCCTTTTTAGTAAATGTTAGCGAACCTGCTTAGTCCTTCCATTATAGACTCCAAAATGTTTTTTTAAATTTTGTAAGATTTTTATTTATTTATTTATTTTGTAAATGTCACAGTCAGTGCTGACAATGGTGTGTAGGACGATTTAGTCACAGCCAAGTCAGGGGGTTTAACAGGCGGTTTCAGCCAGTGTGTTTGCTTCCATCTAGCGGTGGATAAATGGTACTTTGCTCATAGGAGAGAAGGAGGAGGCATAACAAAAAAAAGAAGAAGAAGGAAAGCCATTCCATCGTATCTGTCAAGTGAAAAGGAGGTAGTTCAACTGGCTGGCTGTATGTTCTTTGTCTCTGGGGTTATTCTGTATCACACTGTGTTTTTTCCTGTCTTGTTTTTTGTTGGATTTCCCCCTGGACTGAGTGATCACAGAAGAAGGTGGAGGCTGTAAAGATAGATGGCGTGACATCAGCAACAGGTAGAGTCGGTTTTTATACATACCTCTGCTGGTGAAACAACGTCGCAGTTCATCTTAGATGCAATCCGGAAGTTGCCTACTGCTTGTTGAAGAGACATCATATCATTTTATAGCTGGAGAAATCGCTGAGCTGAGGCTTTGGTGTCACTGAATGGTGATCGAAGCTTTATTGTAACCGGAAAGTCACTGCTTCATTCAGTACCGACTCATCATGCCTCTCCACAACAGACAGGTAGGTGATCCGATTCATGAATAATAATGATGGTTCTGTTTTTTTTTTTATCGTTACGTAGTGAAGATGCTCTGAGGCCGCCTCACACTTTAACAGAATTTATGTTATCAGCGGCCCTGCTGTTTATCATGACTGCACATAGCTTCATCAAGCAGTCATTACATCAAACCCACTACAGATTCACTTAAATCAAGTTAGTCAGATGAGGTCAGAACATATTCACGCTTTAATCTGCCCTGCGTATGAATCAGGATGTTCAGGTGCTACTGCCTCTGCCATGACTTCACTGTTTGTGGATGTACGTGTGTCAGTGAGAGAATCCCCTGAGGACTTAAAGAAAGCATGGATTTGGACTGACTGCTAGACTATATGAGCACGCCATGTTTTTCATTCAGGTTAGATTAGCTCTCTGTGCTTTGCTTTCTCAGCGCAGTGGCATTCATTGTCACGCCCCCGTGTTATCGTTAGACAGGATTCTTTTGGAGGTGATAACCTTCCTGCTTACTTTCACAAGCACAGTATCACAAAACAGTGGCCTCCTGAAACTCATCTGTTGTGACAAAAGTCTTTACCACATACTTTTCATGCCATTTTTAAAACCACGACTTAATGTATTTACATCAGCATGGGTGATTTCATAATGTAACATTGTTCATTGTTTTTGATGCTTCAGTCCAGTATTGAGATGCTGGAGCTGCTGGGAGTGGTAAAAGAAAATGGCAATGAACAGCAATCATTTCCGCCTGTGGTAAGCCATTGTCCACAGTTATAGTTTAATATAATTATAATTCCAGTCCTGGCCATGTTAATGCATATATTAGAGCATATAATGTCTGATTTTGGCGTATTGTTTTTTGTCACTCAGCACACTCCACTCTCTTATGACTACGTCCTGGTTGCCAAAACGATTAATAACCAGGAGAGAGAGTCTTTCAAGAAGCAAACTGAGTACATCGAAGAGCTAAAAAAAAAGAACTTCAAAGTCACGGTGGGTGTTTAATAGTACACTTAACATTTCTGCTATAAAATATACATTTCATCCATACAGTCATTCATCTTAATTTCCTTCTGTTAGAAAATCATAGATGATAATCACGTCTTCTATGGGATTCAAGCGCCCAAGGAAATCTTTGAGAAGTACAGGTATCTGCTCAAGGTGTCCGATGCCTGCAACTGGAGCTCAGATCAGAGCGCAGTGTCTCTCAGTACGAGGTAAACAAGGCCACTGAAACTATTTTTGGCATTTTAAACATTCCTTGCTGCTGTTTTCTGACACTTAAAGCATCCCAGTGTTTATTTGCACTGTGTTGTGTTATCATTACAAAGGACTTGTTCTCAAGCAATTTATTTCCAAATTTTTCTAACCATGTGGTATTTAGATTAGGTCTTCGCCTTTGTGTTTTTATGAAAGTGGAATGCCTAGTTGTCTCTTTAAAATGCATTTTTTAAAGAATCAATAAAGATGCACTAATCTAATGACATTTGTACTTTATGATCAGCTGCATGAGTGATTCTTGTCCTTGTTTCAGGATACGGATTGTCCACTTCATCTTAGGTCACACCAGAATTAGTTCAGGAGGTGAGACAGAATTATTTACAACCCCGATCCTTTGCATTTAACCAGACCCTGAATATTTTTATTATTATTCTCTTTACCTTTTAATCTGCACAGAAAATCTACGGGAGCTCATAAAGATGAAGGTTTTTGAGACCAAGTTCTGTCTACATGAGGTGAAATGTTTTGTTTGTTTGTTTTTAATTCTGGGTTTTAAGTCTTATCCTTGTATATGAAGTACTATGACAAAAGTGACATGATCAGTATAGACATGGGAAGAATGAGGGCTGCTGATTGCTTTACAGTATAAAAAAGAAAGAAAAGAAATGGTCTTCTTCCTCTTCAGAAATCACATCCATGGAGAGTGATAATGATAGCCAAGAATAAAAGCAGTCACCGTAGGAGTAACAATGATAAGAAGTCAGATAAGAATGATCACATAAATCCGTATTTGCCATTGTTTCTCTATGTGGGTCCACACATTCCTACGCTTAAGATAGTGACACTAAAAACTGTTAAACCATTGCCTTTCACATGGCTGCTTAGGTGTTGAGGTTTTCTCAAAAGCTTAATGAACTGAAACTTGGCAATGGCCTCTCAAAACAGAATAGTGGTGCCAAAAAAAAAGTATTTGTTGGCAGAGACACTGCGAGTCATGTTAATGCTGTGAGTCATCTAATACCGAGAATAATTGGGTATGTGCGTGTACATGATTGCTGATGAATACTACATGTTACTGTGTAAGCACGGACATGAGCCACAGTCTGTTGTGTCGCCTTTACAAGCACATGTATGTTAGATAAAGTATCTTACAGTTTCAGCTTTGAACTTGTAAGGTCGAGTTGGTTTTAGAAGCCCTTAATTGTTGAAATCTGTTTTTTAAAAAGCCAGCAGATTACATATTCACACAAGAAAGCTTCTGTTCTCAGTGTAACTGTGTGTTTTGTTAAGCAGCTTGCAGAAAGATTTTCTACATGTTGCTGATTTGCTTTGATTTTGTGTGTTTCTGCTTTCAGAAAAAGAAACAGAGAGAACTGAAGGCGGGATGGGCACGGTGGACAGCCTGTCTCCAAGGGCAACCCATAACTGCTGTCAGGTTTGGACTGCAGCATAACAGCCTATTTATTATTCTGCACTCTATACTGTTCCAGTTATTGCAGCATAATTGGTTTCCAAACAAGACAACAGCAAACATGTCATGAACATGATGAATCTGTTGTTTGGAGCCATGATTTTAAAATAATGTACAGTAATTCGTGGAGTTTTGAGTTAGAAGAGAGCAGAGATGTCTCTGTCTTTAGATTCAGGTGTATCTAAAACATAAACCACGTGTCACAGCAGCAGTTTTGTCTATATGATATCTTTTATACATTTAACAACCCTTAGTAAACATTTTTAGCTTCTTTGTCAGTTGGTATTACAGATACAATTTCAGAATTTATTTAGCTCTTATAATAATAGTGCAACAGATAAGTTAATATTACAGGGAAATAGTTGATGGGTGCACCATAATATGTGCCTTATTTGAATGATCCTAATGTTCATCCATGTGGGTGCAGTATGATATGGGGTGTAGTTGCAGAAGTAATACTGTTTCAGTCAAGTATTATGGATGGACCTCTTATTCTTCTCACTGGTTACTCAGTTCTCAACCCCTAAAATGATCCCCCTAAAATCTTGTTATTTATGATGGTCGGTTGTTTGATCCCCAGCTCTTTCATCTGTATGTTGAAGTGTCCTTGGGAAAGATACTAAACCTGGGCTAGCCCCTTATGGATCTATCTGGGTTTGTGTGTGTGTGAGCAAGAGTATTAAAAAAGTATCTGTGGATGCAGCTTGCAAAAAGTGTAAAAAGTGCCTCTATAAATTACAATTCATTTGTGCAGTGGTTCTGGCACTGTCCAGATACCTGCTAATCAGATTAACTGGTCACTAAGATGTCTGTTGGTGCAACGGTAAATGGTCATCTGTCTTTCTATGTTAGCTTGTTAATAATTTTAAAAAAATTGATGGTAGGGTGCGCGAATGGGAGAACTGAGCCAAGAATCAAGGAGACTTTATGCACGCAATACATGAATTTTATGAAATTGCACGAGAATAATTTAGCACCTGATGAATATTGAATGCCTGAACCAACGTCTGGAATGAGAATGCTCTGCCTGAAGTGAGTTGCATTAAAGTACTACAAGAGTTAAAGGATTATCCTTTAACTTATAAGATATTATGTGGCACTTCAGTTCTTTTGTTTTGTTTGAAACAAAGAAAAATTCTGAAAATAACTTTAACTTACTTCTTTACCTGCTCAGAAGCATATCCAGTAACAGTAAAACATCTGACAATTCACCAGTGGTTGAAATTCTGTGGTAAATCGGTAATTTGAGCCTAAAATTGGTCATGTGATTTTTCCAAATGAATAGCTCTAAAGTTACAAACGTGCACGTTTTGATGCTTGTATCTGCTTTTCAAAGGATTTTTCACTTATCAGAATCAGAATCAGAATCAGAATACTTTATTGATCCCTGGGGGAAATTATTTTTTGTTACAGTGCTCCATTTTAAACCAACATTAAGACAAGACAGACAATACGCTAACTAAGAATAGTACAATATATACATATATATACATACATACATACATAAGTCACTTATAAATAAATATTTGGAAAAGAAACATGTGTAGTTGTAGCAGCAAACAGTGTGTTAAGTGGATGCGTTGTACAGGGAGATGGCCACAGGCAGGAATGATTTCCTGTGTCGTTCAGTGGTGCTTTTCGGTAATCTCAGTCTCTCACTGAACGTGCTCCTGTGACTGACCAACATGTCATGGAGTGGGTGGGAGGTGTTATCCAACATTGTCTTTATCTTGGACAGCATCCGCCTCTCCGACACCACCTTGAGGGAGTCCAGCTCCATCCCCACAACATTGCTGGCCTTACGGATCAGTTTATTAAGTCTGTTGGCATCTGCGACCCTCAGCCTGCTCCCCCAGCATGCAACAGCATAGAGGATCGCACTGGCCACCACAGACTCATAGAAAATCCTCAGCATTTTCTGGCAGATGTTGAAGGACCTCAGTCGCCTCAAAAAATAGAGACGACTCTGGCCCTTCCTGTAAAGTGCTGTGGTGTTTTTAGCCCAGTCCAGTTTATTGTCAATGTGTACTCCAAGGTATTTATAGTCCTCCACAATGTCAACACTGACCCCCTGGATTGAAACAGGGGTCAAGTGTTTCCTGGTCTTCCTGAAGTCCACGATCAGTTCCTTGGTCTTTGCCACGTTGAGCTGCAGATGATTCTGCTCACACCACGTGACAAAGGAGTCGACCACAGCCCGGTACTCTGTCTCATCATCCCTGCTGATGCATCCAACCACCGCAGAGTCATCAGAAAACTTCTGAAGATGGCAGGTCTCTGTGCAGTGGCTGAAGTCTGTGGTGTAGAGGGTGAAGAGGAAGGGGGAGAGGACAGTCCCCTGTGGTGCCCCTGTGTTGCTAATCACCTTGTCAGACACACACTGTGGGAGACGTACATATTGTGGTCTTCCTGTCAGGTAATCAACAATCCAGGACACCAGAGAAGCATCCACCTGCATCGCTGCTAACTTATCACCCAGGAGGGTCGGCCTGATGGTGTTGAAAGCACTGGAAAAGTCAAAAAACATGACCCTCACAGTGCTCGCCGGCTGGTCCAGATGGGTGTAGACACGATTGAGCAGGTAGATGATGGCGTCCTCTGTTCCGAGACGAGGCTGATAAGCGAACTGAAGGGGATCCAGATGTGGTCTTACTATGGGTCGCAGCTGGTCCAGGATGAGCCTTTCCAGGGTCTTCATGATGTGGGAGGTCAGTGCCACGGGCCTGTAATCCTGGGGGCCACTGGGACGAGGCGTCTTTGGTACAGGGACGAGGCATGATGTCTTCCACATCACCGGGACCCTCTGCAGACTCAGACTCAGCATAAACAGTTTATGAAAGACTCCACACAGCTGGGGGGCACAGGTCTTGAGGACAAGGGGACTCACTCCGTCTGGTCCAGCAGACTTGCCTGAGTGAAGTCTCCTCATTTGCATCTCAACCTGGTATTGAGTGAAGGTGATGGGTGGGGGAGGGGTGTCAGGAATCTCACAGGAGGCAACATGTGAAGAGAGAGGCTGGCACAGTGGTGTGGCTCTGGATTCCAGGCTGACTGCAGGTGAGGTTGTGGGGGTGGGAGCAGACACTGTGGTGTCGAATCTATTGAAAAACAGATTCAACTCGTCGGCTCTATTCTCACCTCCCTCAGCTCCCCTGCTGTTGGTTGGCCTGAATCCAGTGATGGTCTTCATGCCCCTCCACACCTCTCTCATGCTGTTCTGCTGGAGTTTCCACTCCAGCTTCCTCCTGTAATTGTCCTTAGCCTCTCTGATCTTGTCCTTTAGTAACACCTGGACCTTCCTCACCTCCTCTTTGTTGCCCCCTCTGAAAGCCCTCTTCTTGTTGTTGAGGAGGGCTTTGATGTCCTTAGTCACCCACGGCTTGTTATTTGGGTAACAATGAACAGTCTGAGCTGGAACAATGGAGTCGGTGCAGAAAGTTATGTAGTCTGTGATACACTCAGTAAGCCCATTGATGTCCTCGGCGTGAGGCTCACAGAGTGTTTCCCAGTCGGTCACCTCGAAACAGCCCTGTAGTTCCGCTATTGCCTCCTCTGACCACCTCCTAACAGTCCTGGTGGTCACAGGTTCCCTCCTCACAATTGGCACATAGCGGGGGGTGAGGTGAATCAGGTTATGATCTGACCTACCAAGTGGGGGGAGGGAGGAGGAGCTGTATGCATCCTTGACGTTAGCATACAGTAAGTCTAAAGTTTTCTCTCCCCTGGTGGGACAGTCCACATATTGTTTGAATGTTGGTAGTGTATTGTCCAGTGATACATGGTTGAAGTCACCCGAGATCACAATAAAGGCACTCGGGTGCTGAGTCTGTAGCCGAGCTATGGCAGAGTGGATAGTGTCACATGCAGCTGTGGGGTTAGCAGAGGGGGGAACATAAACAGCCACCAAGATGACGTGAGAGAATTCCCTGGGTAAATAATACGGCCTGAGTCCAACAGCACACAGTTCAGTGTCCGGGCAACAAATCCTTTCTTTGATTGTTATGTTGGCAGGGTTACACCACCGGTTGTTAACTAAAACAGCAAGCCCACCTCCTTTACGCTTACCGCTAGCGATGCTGTCCCTGTCCGCCCGAACAGTGTGGAAGCCTTCCACGGAAGCATTCTCATCGGGAATGACCTGGTGCAGCCATGATTCGGTGAAACACATCAGGCTACACTCTCGGTATTCCCTCTGACTCCGTACCAGTGCTGAGAGCTCGTCGATTTTACTTGCCAACGATCGCACATTTCCCATCACGATAGACGGCAGACACGGTTTAAACCTCCTCCTCGCTTCGAGCCTCCGCTGTCTCACCGTCACCTTTTTTCTTCTCTTCTGTCCTTGACCTCTGCATCCCCGATGTGTTTTCCTCCAAATTTCAGCTGGTACTTCTGCGGGCACTTCTGCGGGCCTGGCCAGCGAGCCTGTTGTGCCAAAAAGTGATTGTCTGCCAAAAACTGATTTCCGGTATTTGCCAAAAAGCGATTGCTCATATTTAAAGTGGTATAAGTAACTTGTTGGGCTATAATATGTTAAACATATGTCAAATGCATCCCTTATGGATGACATAAAGTCATCTTGAGCCACAAACAACATTCGTGTAGCAAGATACAAGCCGCAATCAGTTTTTGGCAGCGACTTTTATATAACCTTTATTTATGCAGTAAAAAAAAAATCTCATTAACATTAAAAATGTATTTTGTAAGAGTAAGTTGCCCAACAGGACAGCAGAAATGGCAGCAAATGTTACAATAGTTCTGTAAAAATATTTTAAGTGGGGATAAAGGACCGGATTGGTTATGATGTAAGTACAAGTTGTAAAGATACTTAAAAAACAGATAATTTTTTAATTCTTTATGTAACCCCTTTGTATCCCCTGTTCACCGAAGTCTATTTACGAACATACGTAAAGATATTACACATAAAAAATACACAGAAACACTGGAATCAGGGCGATCAGCTGATCTCTGGAGTAAACAGTCCGTGCGTGTAGGAGATGTGCCGCGGTCCCGTTCCATGATAAAAGTAACAGTTCCACGGCCACCAGAAGAACAAAAACTCTCTCAATCCACATGATTGAGTAAGAGATAGAAAACGGAGGAAAATACAAGTCAGAAAAAAAAAAGAATACGTAAGAAAAAAGAGCTAAACTAAGAGAAAAGCAGGAGCGACTGTAACAGGCTGCACGCTGGTTGGCGCATGCGCACTATGTGCTGCACCATAAGCTAATCAGCTAACCTCTGAGACAGAACATCACTGCAGTACTTGTTTCTCTCAGGACTGTAATTATTTTAAATGCCATTTGGCAAGAACACATGCATTTGAAGACAGGACTCTACACTTAAAGAATCTACAGCCACTTCATTAACTAAGTGAGGCTTAGCTGCATGGCAAGGATGCTAATCTCAGCGAGTTGTTGCTAGCATCCTGCAGTTTACCTGGTTCAAGGTTTACTAAGGTGTTGGAGTTCAGTGTATTTTCTAATAAACACACGCGCGCGCGCGCACACACACACACACACACACACACAACACTGGAAGTAATTGGAAATGCTAAATGCTATTAGTTAAGTAGATATTTGGCTATAAAACAAAGCGCTAGAATCACTAAAGCTTTGACCTGTTAGTGACATAAAGGGACCACTAATGTCAGTGGAGTTCAGCTGTGGTGCAAAAGTGAATTATGTCTTCCTTGCAGTAAAAATATGTCATGCTGACTATTCTTACCACTGTGTATTATCAGAACTATACACAGTGCATGTTATATCGTGTTATGTTATGCATAGCATAAACTGTACACTGACATAAAGTTTGCCAGTAAAGTAGATAAATACAGTGAGGAGTTATTATAAAGAAAGTCTGTCCTATATCAGTAATGCATAGAATTGTTAAGAAATGTGTTACTGTGAAGTGAACATTTTTATCCACATTTGTTTCAGAAGAAATGATAAATGTATATTCCAAAACGTTGATTCTGTTCTTCTGGACATAGCGTTTTTGATGGGAGAAACGTTTCTCACTCATCCAAGTGACTTCTTCAGTCTGCTGACCGCAGGTTTGCCCAACCTTATAAACAGTACATTTGCACAATAACTGACACTAGACCACTTAATGAACAATGGGCTGGGAGGTCAGTTCCTTGATCATTAGTGTGCAAATTGTCATGACCATTGATCAACAACCACTGATCAATGGCCACTGATCAATGGCCACAAGTACCATTCACAGAGAGTTGGGGAATGGCTGCAATGACAGCATTGTAAGATGGTGAAAGATGTACCCTTAGGCCCCCTCTTCGATTCAGAGATGGTCGTTCCCTTTTCACGTAAATCAGTCTGCTGCCCAGCTAGTCTGACTCCCCGCTCAAACCACCATTCCTCCCTGTCCAGGATGTGTACATCCTCATCAATGAAAGAGTGTCCACTGGCCTGTAGGTGTAAATAGACTGCGGAGTCCTGGCCTGACAAGGTTGCTCTTCTGTGTTGTACCATCCGCTTCGCCAGAGGTTGTTTGGTTTCCCTGATGTATAAATCCTGGCAATCCTCCTGGCACTTAACAGCGTACACTATGTTAGTCTATTTGTGTCCGGGGACCTGATCCAATAGTTCAATATTGGTGTGTTTAGGGGTTTATAAGCCACACAGACTCTGTGTTTAGAAAAAATGCATCTCAACAGTTCTGATACTCCTGACACATAGGGGGATCACTAAGGGTTTTTGCTTAGGCAGGAGTTGTCCTTCTCTCTTGGTTAGGCTGGAGATTTCTTTAGGTCCCTTCCCAGCTTTGATAAATGCCCAGCTGGGATAACCACATTTACTCAGAGCCTTCTTAATGTGATGTTCTTCTGCTTCCCTGGCCGCTGTGTCTGTGGAGATGGTGTTCGCGCTGTGTTGTAGCTTCCTGATGACACCCAGTTTATGCTCCAGTCGATGATGAGAGTCAAACCTTAAATACTGCATAGATTTGGGGTACACATCAGCTTTTAGATGTCCCCCATTACTGATGGAAATCTCACAGTCTAAGAAGGCTAACTTGCTACTTTTCATATCCTCCCTGGTGAATTTTAAGTGTTGGTCCACTGAGTTACTGTGATCCATGAATTGTGGTACGTCCTGAGATTTGATTTTCACCTAGGTGTCATCCACATATCTGAACCAGTGTGTTCCCGGGTAGGATAACAAGGCCCTCTTTTCCACTTCCTTCATGTACAAGTTAGCGATGATGGGTGAAACTGGGGAACCCGTGGTGAACCCATTGGCTTTGATCAGTGGTTGTTGTGTCACGGTCTGTGTGGCAGACCGTGGGTGTGTGGGGAAGGAGGACCCAAGATGCAGGACTCTGCGATGCAAACAGTGCGTTTATTTACAGTGAAGTAAATAGTACACAATAATGAATCCCCGTGTGTTTCCAACTCCCGTGACGCGTCTCCTTCCCAGTGCTCGTGATCCGTGTCTCTGCTCCCGTGAAACTTGTGCTCGCTGCTCTCCCGTTCCCGCACTCCTGCTGGAAAATCCACAGAGGCAGCCGGTAACACACAACTACGAAGTGACAGACTAGAACTCACTGATTTTGCTGGGAACACTGACGGGTAGTCACTCAACGATCCAGCGTCGAGAAGCTCTCAGCCACACTGTTTTGTAGCTCCTCTGACGAGGCTCGATCGGTGCCAGGTGTGTGTGGAGATCCTCGGGTGTGACCGGTCAACTGGCAGGGCCACACCCACCAGGCCTGAAGGTGCCTGTCACGACCGCGCCCACAAACACACACACACACCTTCCAAAACACAAACATGGAGTGCAGGAAAAGCAGCAGAACAGAGTACAACCATATAATAATAATAATAATAATAATCATCATCATCATCATCATCATGGTCCACACTGCAGACCCCGAGTCCCTGGAACCGGGTCCGTGACATGTTGATCAATTGTCATGACAATTTACATATTAATAATAAGGAACTGACCTCACAGTCCATTGTTTATTCACTGGGCTATTTTCAGTCATTGTGCAAAATATACTGTTTATAAGGTTGGGGGTACCTGCACTCAGCTGAGACTAAAGAAGTCACTTGGATGAGTGAGAAACGCTTGTCCCATTGAAAATGCTATGTCCAGACGAACAGAATCAACTTTTTGAGATTTACTTACCTGGATGATTGAGCATGCATCAAGACATAAATGTATTTTTTTTCTATCTGTCTGTGTTTTATTGTGTCAGGAACTACTTTGGAGAAAAAGTGGCCTTGTACTTTCTGTGGCTGGGCTGGTACACATTTCTCCTAATCCCACCTGCTATCATCGGGATCATTATCTTCCTCTATGGCATCTCCTACTACAAACACTCACCCCTCCTGTAAGTTTCTGGCTGTATCCTCATATAGTACATCTTTCCTTTGTAATGACTTAAACTTTAAATCTTTTAGAAATGAGGTTTGCAACTCCAACACAACCATGTGTCCACTTTGTGACAAGGGTTGCAAAGAGTGGAAGCTCAATGACACCTGCATTTATACCAAGGTAAATCATTTTACATCATTACATTTATTGCGAAATAGATTAACAATGTGATTGTACATTCACCGCTTACTATGGCTTTTTTTCTATTTACAGGTGACCTTACTGTTTGACAACGAAGGGACAGTGTTCTTTGCGATGTTCATGGCAATATGGGGTGAGTTTGTCAATATTCACATCCATATTTGAGATAGACACAATCATGCAATAGGATCTTTTAATAATAGAAAATAAGAATGCAATTATGTTTTTTTTTAATTTGCTTGAACATACAGGACATTTTGTACAGACAAGTCTTTCATCAGCCTCAGATCTATTTCATTCAAATGCCAGTCTTTTTATGATTGCTCAGACATGCACTGCCAAGAGATGCCACATCACTGAACCTACTCTCCCTGGCTACTCATATCTTAATCAGCGCAGGCCATCTGGCCATGGGGGTGGTCGAGCATTCATCTATATGAACATATAAATGCTTTTCACTGTTCTGCTTTTAGTATCTATATGTTTTTATAGATGCTTAGAGTCTGTAATCACACTTCATCTAATATTAAATTCTAATGTTTAAGGTAAGGATTTATCCGATCATGCTTCAGGGGTGTTAAGTAGCACAGGATTTGAAGAGAATGAGCTAGAACTGGTTTGTAGGGAGGGGTGGGAAAGGGCAAAAGGAAGTGAGACATGATATTATTTGGATTATGCTGAATGAAGGTCACTTTTCACACACAATCCAAAACTAAATCAAAGAAAAGTAATGCACAATTTTTCATTGAAAAACACTTCAAAAGCTGAAATAATAGAATATGACAGTTTAGATATAAGGAGTTTATCATAAGACAACTGACATAGAGAATAGCTAGAGTTTTCAGACATTCTTTTTATTTTTAAGTAAAGATTTTGTAAACTAAACCTCTTTCAACAGTAGTTCACATTCAAGTTAGTTCAACCTTGAAACTGTCCTGTTTATGTAAAAGTTGTTAAGGTGGACTCAGCTACTAACACAAAAGCTGAGACTCGTGTCTAAGTGTTCAAAAGAATTGTTCATAAAAGAAGACTTTAATTCACACTCACAATCAAATAAAAGGCACTGCATATAGGAAGAGGCAGAATAATCCAATAAAAACAACAACAAAAAATACTTCCAGTGAGCTACACACAGTGTGTATTACACTGTGAAGCAAGTTCAACACACCTTTCCATTATCTAGCTTCACTTAAACTAACATCTTTAATCAGGCTGTATAGTCACACAAAGGTAATTACTTGATAGCTTATCACTGAATTAATTGCTGGTGTTGGTAGTATCTGGCCAATCACAAACATGGAGAACTCTGTTATGAGTTTAAAGGGAAAATAAAAGTGAATGTGTGTGCACTTTAAGTGTGGCCAGGAAAACTGGAAAAGACCTAGTATATTATAATGTTTAGCTTATTTGAAGCTTGGAAGGAAAGTTGGCAAAAATGCATACTGAGTAACTTAACAGAGATAGAAAAATCTGATGGATTAGAGTTGTTCTTCCCTCCAGTTAATGTTTAAATGTCTTTAAGGTAGTTTTATTGTCGGAGAGTAAAGATTGAATATAAAAACAGAATTCAAAGTAGGTTAAATCTATGTGAATATTTGATCAAAGGTTCACAAGTATAAATTGTTTTAGTACCCTCTTTATAGACCCTCTGTATAGACCACTGAAAGTGTCAATGACTTTGCAGTCACTGGGAAAAGGAAATTGAAGTAATTACTTCTTAGATTTTATCGTTCTTACTGATGCTTTTTATTGACAGATGCAATTTATAAAAAGTTTTGACCATCTTACTCACAGAGGGAGCCACAGATCTCACATGAATGCTAAGATCTGTTGATATTTTGCAGAGAGCTGACTGATCACTGTGCTTTGTTCAAACCTGTTGATCTCGAATCTCAAACATAACCTGCTCTCTACCACGTGAACCGTCTTTGTAATACTGACACCTTTATTAGGCTTGGCTGGATAAGTAAGAATCATGCTTAATAGAGCCGACACACATAAACAGACACACACACACACTGGGTGAGGGATAATGTGGCATGGGGCAGCTCAATCAGGAAAAGAATAAAGAGAGTGAGAAAAGGAACAAAGCGGGCCAGTAAATACACCGAAACTACTTGAACAGCCTTCAAAAAGTAGAAAGAATTGAAAGTAAAACTCAAACAGACAAACAAAAACACAGACAGGGGAAACCCAGGAGGGACATGGAAACGAAAAACAACAACAGCAAAAACTAAGGATTACTACAGAAACCATTTCACAAATACTATGTCACAGACAGCTGGCAGAGGTCAAATAAGAAATAATAATACGCTTTTCAACCTCAAATTAAAAGCAGGCCAACACTGACATATTTTCCACTCAAAGTTATATTTAAAACAGACAAACACCTAAAATATTCCCAACGTTGGCAGAGGTTATTAACATGTGGTGATCAAGAACAGTCACTGTTAATTGGTGCAACTATTTGGTGCATAAAATGCTCTATAAATCTCACAGAAACTCCTGTTTTTCACAGCAACACTGTTTTTGGAGTTCTGGAAGAGACATCGTGCTACCTATGTGTGTGAATGGAAAGTGTCTGATTGGAGTGAGGAAGAGGTATTTGACAGTATTATCCACTCAGTCCAGTTTGTGACACCAATACAGTGTTTATTACTTTTCATGGATGTATGTGTAAGGATGTGTTTTTTTGCTTTTCAAATCAAACTACAGGAGGAACTGATCCTGGAACTTGTGAATGATGTCAACTGTGAACCAAAAAAATTTAAGCACTCCTATTGGACCAGCAGTCTGATTTTTATCTGTGTAACAATTATGGTAGGATATCTTTTCTTCTCTTTGTCTAAATGCATTTAATAAGGATTAATAATGATTTAATAATGTACTGCTTAACATAAGAGTCAGGCTGGTTTGAACGTTTTGGAAAGAAAAATGATGTTGTTAATCGGAAAAGTATGGTGACCCAACTTAGTGTCTTTGTGTTTCTACAGATATTAGTGATCATCAGCCTAACGAGTGCTGTGGTGGTGTTCAGGGTGATTGCAGCAGATTTTTTGGCAAAGTACAAATTGAAATCTTTAAGCCACCACTCCAACATATCTGTGATGGTGCTCGGGGGTTTCCTCCATTACTTCATCATCACTATCATGACACGGGTACACAGATGTCTTAAAGTACATCTCTTTATGTGTTTAATGATGCTATCTGTGACCATTATCATACTTTTGCCTTTTTTTTTGCAGGTAAATTGGATTGTGGCCAGGAAGCTCTGTGACATGGGTATGTTTAATGCACCTAATTTTCTTCCCCCCCCCCCCAAACTTTAAGGAGTTTCTGTCAGGTAACAGCTTCAGGAGAAGGCAGGAAGGAAAGTAGTCAGATAGGAAGCAGATAACACAGGTAATAGACAGATAACTTTCAGACAGAGCTTTCATCAATAAATTTTCCTAAAACTGATTTTTACACGACTTATACACATATTTATAATATTTATAAAATATTTATGATGCATTGATCTCTTTGAAATGGTCAAAAATTGTCAAAAATTAGGACACCCAAGACACTAAAATAAGATCTACAAAAGTAGATACACATTGCAAAAATGCTAGACCTAACAAATATAATACAAGGATGCTCTCTGGAATGGTCGTCGTTTTTTTGTGTCCTTGGGAAATAACTTGTGCATCCATCTAGGTGTGTGTGTGTGTGTGTGTGTGTGTGTGTGTGTGTGTGTGTGTGTGTGTGTGAGAGAGAGAGAGAGAGAGTGAGAGAGAGAGAGAGAGAGAGAGAGAGAGAGAGAGCATTAAAATGTGTCTGGAGATGGAGCTTGCAGCATAAGAAGGGCTTTCAGTAATATCTGAGTGCAAAAAAGCACTGTATAAATTGCTGTTTATTTGCCATGGGCTGAATTTGGAGCGAGCAGAACACAAAAAACTCTGGCTAACCTTAGAAATATTTTAGCTTTACAGTGCTGTTAATTTAGTTACATGAGCTAGGCAATATAACAAACAGCTTGGCAGCAGAATGATGCATTGGTTGCCTTGCAGCAAGAAGGCTTGAGTTTGAATTGTCTGCTGGTGTGATGGTGAATGGTTATGTGTCTCTGTGTGATGGCCTGTTAAATACTACTACTACTAATAATAATGATCATCATCATTATCATTATCATCATCATCATCATCACCGTAATAAACTGATGACAGGGTGTGGGCATAGAAAAGCTGAGCCAAGGGTAGTGGAGTCTTTATGCAGTGAATATATGAATTTCACTGACTTGCACAGGAATAAATTGACAGTAGATGAATGTTAACTGTATGAACCTAGTTATATGTGTCACAGTATCTAAAAGGTAATGTGTCTTTGCAGTATTCTTGTTTTACTTGAATCAATTAAGCTCTTTTATGTACTTGTGCTTCTTTACAAAAGCACATACATTAAAAGTAAATCTCTGACAGTTAACCAATGATTGAAATTCTGCAGTAAAACAACAATTTTCTAACATGGAAATGAAGGTCCTATCGGAAAATTTTGAAATTCAAGCGGCTAATGGGATTTTTTTTTAAATGAATAACTCCAGAAGCATATAATTCTTTCCCATTCTTGTTTCCATTTTTGAAGGAAAGATTGTTTCAGCTATCTGATGCACTACCTGGTGATGTTGATAAAATCTGCACACCAAGAGAAGCCACATTCCAAGAAATCAAAACACTTTTGCGATAGTGTTTCTGCAGCTGCCCTTGTTTTGGTGTGATGAGGCTCACAAATGCACACACATGTGCATGTACACACAGGCATGCAGGGATCAAACATTATCAGTCACGCTTTTGCAGCAAGTAGATACAATCAGAGAAAACTGATGTGGCTCTTTTGTAGGATGTGCGATTGTGCCATCTATTGGCCAAACAGTGAGATGCATGCATGCTGACGTACACTAACACGACTTCTGTCTTCACCAGAGGAGATAAGGTCGTTTGCTTCCACTGAAAAGAGCTTCACAGTCAAAATGTTCACCTTCCAGTTCTTCACCTATTTCACCTCACTGTTTTATGCGGCCTTCATTCTTGGCAGGTAAGAACTGCTGTCTGAATGCCTTTCAAAATTTATGGTTGTGCTGATTTGCAGCATCTTCATTTTTCAGTCCTCCTCAGAGCCTGGACCTCAACATTATTGAAGCAGTGTGGGATCATCTTGACAGAGAATGAAACAAAAGGCAGCCAAGAAGCCTGGAGAACTATTCCTGAAAGCTATTTAAAGAAATAACAAGAATAAAAGTAAAGAATAAAGAATGAGAATAAAACAAAGAATAAAAGTAAAGAATAAATAAAGAATAAAAGTGGTCATACCAGATATTGACTTTACAGCTTGTTAGAGTGGTACAAACCCTATGCGTTTCCAGATGTTTCATTAAATCCCCCTTTTTCTATCAAATTCTTCAAAGAATTGAAGGATGGCTCAAGATTTTTGCTCAGTTCTCTATAAATCTCATTGTTCTACCTTTTCAAACATGCTGTATGTCTTTGATCATTTGGACTTATCTGACTAATAATTCACATTTTAATGATACATATATATTTACAGGATAAATGGCCGTCCTGGGAATTATGTAAAAATTGCAGGCCGTTGGAGACTTGAGGAAGTGAGTATGGCTCGGTCCACACTTAGAAACACAAATGTATTATTATTTTTGTGATGTTTTACATAAACTTTCTGACTTTATTTTAAACTTTTTCGTGCAGTGTCACCCTACTGGTTGTCTGACCGACCTGTTTATCCAAATGACCATTATCATGGTACTAAAGCAAACCATCAGCAATGTCTTTGAGTTCACTGGACCGTAAGTATAAAAGAGCTTTGTAATCTCATACAAACTTGTACATATGCCTCAACCTTGTATCTGTGCTGACATAAGCGGTTTGTTTGAATTAGCTGGTTATGCCGGTTGTGGAAAGGAAAAAGAACCCAGAAACTACAGAGGAAATGTGCTCACTGCTATCTGAAAGATGACTCAGACACTAAAGATGGGGATGAACTTTGTGAAAACTGCAAGCTCCGAGACTGGCTAAGCAACTACCGCCTAAATGATGTCGACTCATTTAGCCTGTTCAGAGAGTTTTTGGAAATGGGTATGTGCTCAGTGTCATGCTTCAACAACAACAGTAAAGGATAAACTAATATTGGGAAAAAAATAAAATTGATCTTTACTTTCTGTTCTCAGTGATCCAGTTCAGCTTTACCACCCTGTTTGTGGCAGCCTTTCCTCTCGCTCCTCTGTTGGCCTTCATCAATAATGTCATAGAGATACGTCTGGATGCCATTAAGATGGTCACTCTCGAGCGGAGGATGGTTCCCAAGAAAACCAACAATATTGGTGAGAACTGTTGTGAAAAGGCAGGACACTGTGGGTCTTGTTAGCATGTTGAGCATTAGTAACACTGCTGCTTCTCCTTAGGTGTGTGGCTAGATATACTAGAGGCTATTGGTGTCTTAGCAGTCATTGTCAATGGGCTGGTCATTGGTGTATCCTCGGACTTCATCCCCCGACTTGTGTACCGTTATCACTACGGCCCGTGTGCCCAAGGCACAACTGCACCAGATACTGAGTGAGAAGTGCATGCCTCTCGAAATTCTATACATTTTGCAATTGGCTGTATGGCTTATATGGTTATATGGCTTTCTTTTACGTTTTTCTTTTTCTCATGTTCAAGTTGTATGGTGGGTTACATCAACAACACTCTCTCCATTGCCCCATTTCTTCGTGTGAATGGTTCATATAAATACAGCGAGAACATCCCTCCTGGTGAAGAGCCTTTCTTGTGCAGGTTTGTTTTCCTTTAGTTTTCTCTTACAGATTAAGTTTTTGAGTTAAAAATAAATAAATAAATAAAACATCTGATCAAAATCTAGTATGTTCCTTTTGACAGATATAAGGACTACAGGAGCAAAGATGACTACACTCATACCCATCAGTTCTGGATCATTTTAGCTGCGCGCTTTGCGTTCGTCATCTTGTTTGAGGTAAGACCTTTGGACTTTTACAAAGCACGGCACTACATTCACACATTCACCTCTTTCCTGAGCAGTTTTTTAGCATTCTGTTACAATCTCTGGGTTTTGGGTCCAGGATTTGGTACTTGTAACTATTAATTATTAAGGTTTTTGGGTTTTGTCATCCTTTAAGTTTGGGAGAATTTTATACTTTTGTTGGCCTCTCTTTGTATATTTATTTGACTGATAAATATCTTTTGCATTTTCTGTTACATTCTGATTTTTATTCTTGGTTTTATAATTCTTACTTACTATCTTTCTTCATCCCTTTGTTCCCCCAGTTAGTCACCCATATTTGTGATCTCTGTGTTTGTTACAATGTGTTTCTGCTGCCCCTCTATCAAGTCTGTATGTCATAGTGTTGACAACATTTCCTGTTTTATTGTGATAGTCTGTTACCCAGTGTGTTGTACTTTGGTTTTCTATCTATGATTTGCTTCAGCTGTGCTCCCTGTGTAAGTTCCCATCTTCTATGGATTATTATACACCTTAAATTAAAGGTTGTTGCAAGTTTCAAGTCTGTCTTTGAGTTTGCATTGGGATGCTACTTCTTCCTAACTACAATGTATTCAACACAATGATTTTCTAACTTTGACAGCTTTGAAAAAGTTTTCAGAGCTTAGACTCGGGCTGTAACAAAACCAAGGTGTATGAAATAACCCATAACCTCCTTTTTTAATTAAATAATAAATTACGTTTTTTTTTTTAGTTTGTTAGTTTGTTTGTTTGTTTGTTTGTTTGTTTATAAAATGAGATCCACTTCCTAACCATGTACCCTCTGCTTGCAGCATGTTGTTGTCATATGCAAGTTCATTGCAGCCTGGTTTATACCGAGTGCTCCCATGGAAGTGAAGAACTGTAGGCTCTCAGATAAACTCAAGAGGCTAAAAGAGGAACTCCAGTGAGTCTTTGATAATACATGCTTACGTGTGACTGCTTAATGCAAGAAACCCCCCCAAAACTGTTGTGCAATAGTGTGACATGTCATGTATCTTCTGAAATGTACCTGTAAGTAATGCTTGTGTCCCCAAAGGTTTCAGAATGTGTCTGAATCACTATTAGCTCTATTAAGTCATGACATGAGACACTAAATATGTCAGTGTTATCAAAATGCTTTGTTACTACACGTTACTTTCTTTCAATTACAGTAATATCATGAGCTGATATGAGCAGTGAAAAGGTGGCTCATTTATTGCCCCAAAGTTAAACTGTACACTTTCCCTAAGTCTCTGATTTTCAGCTGAAACTATCAAGTTTAACCATCCTGGCCCGTTTACACAGATTCGGACAAGTAGGACAAAGGGCTTCTTTGTCAAGTATTTGGTCAATAAGCATAATTGAGTTGCTTTAACACAGTTTTGTTGTTTAAGATCTATTTAAAAGCTAAACCTTTATTCTGCTTGCAGAACTAATAATATTGATAGTAGTGCTACTAAAAAACTAACGAAGATTTGTTTAAACATGCCTATATTAAAAAGGGTGTATTTAAATTTGGTTTTTCTCAACATTTTTCATGTAGACAGCCTGACTTCCTTAGCGATTGCCACGTGATATCTGTTTAAAATAGTTTTCACACACAAAAAAAACACAAATTCAACAGTACTCTAATTTGAAATGTTTAACAGTATTGTTGATACATGATGACTTATAAAATGTGTTTGTTTTTATTTCTTGCAGATCATTTGAAGCATGACGGTGTAAACGGGATACATGTTACCCGAACAACACAAACCCAGTGTTGACTTGTGCATTAAAGTCTCCAGACTACTGCAGTGTTGCGTCAACTTCAAGGTTCTTAATCATCTCTCTGAGGAGCTCAGATGGAGGCCTGTGGCTGGATTGTCATCCATTAAAAGGACTGTAAAGGCAATTTGTCTTGAAGAAAACCAGTGTACAGCAGCTGATGTTACTGACCGCAACTTTCACGAGATTATTCTTATTCTGCATTGAGAATCCACCACTTGCTTGCTGTAGAAACTCCATATATACGAGCCTGTGTTTTGTATTGAAAGACTAAAGATAATTTATACTGATACTGTAAACGGGGTGTTGACTGTGTTATGCCTTAATGTATACTGTTTTACACAAAAAGCGCTGTGATGATTGTTGCTTTACTACAGGCAGAATCCAATTGTGTATTTTGTAACTCAGATGCAAAAATGTTTTGCTTTATAACATTTTATATCATTAAATACAAAAGAGAAAACATCTGTCATTGTGATTGTCTATTAATTTAACATGTGAGCATTTTTGAATTTGCAAAGCCATGGATAGGAGTAGAAGCAATCTCGATTCAGTGGCAAAAAAGCCACATGTCTTTTGTCTTCAAGTTTGATTTTCAAGAAAAATACATTTTAAAACAAAAGGTTTTAAAGCAGTAGCTTAATCACAAAGATATTGTAAATATTACACATTTGCAGTTTACATTTTGTGTGCATAAAACAAAATAGGATTTGTACCAATATAAGAAGAGCTGTTGATTTAAAACATTCCTTAATGAATTCCTCTGTGTCACGGCATGAATTGGAGATGGTTATTAATACCTTTATTTCATCACGCCTGGATTACTGTAATTCATTGTTTTCTTCCCTTAACAAAACTTCTTTGACAGAGCTGCAGGTTGTTCAGGACACTTCCACGAGGTTTCAGACTAATTCTTCACATGTCACACAGTTGCTGACTCAGTTGCACTGGCTGCCCATTAACTTATAAGTCCACTTTCAGATTCTGATTTCTACTTTTAGAGGTCTGCATGAAGCAGCAACATCATACATCAGTGAACTTTTACATCCCCAGCATGCCCCTGAAGTCATGTGATAAGGGGCAGCTGCAATAAGGTAACCTTGTGTTTCTAGCATTTTGTTGCAAAACATGTTTTTTAAAAAAAACAACAAAAAAAAACCATGTAAGTTGTAAAATGTATGTATATATTCATTTAATAAAATTGTGTATTGTAGAATGTTGGTGGACAGTTAGATTTAGAAAAACCTCAACCTCAATTTTACCTGACAGTAAAAAAATGGTTTAGAACTTAAGAGCTGCGAATATTTAAGGCTGCCAGTTGTCATCAGATGAGTGTGATTGTTCGTGCTGTGAGAAGGCTTGACATGTGAGTAACTGTCATAGCCAGAGCTAAATGGGCAAATAAATGCCTCTTGCTTCCAACATACCTTGTCTTGGTCTTCCTCGCTGTAAATTCAGCCGCAAAAGGTTGCAGTGCTATAAAAATAACATTTTACTTAGTTACTAATGACTTTATTTATGACATTTAGACTTATGGTAAGGTCACAAAAGAATGCAAACGCAATCAAAAGAACTGCAGGCCTCATTTGGCTCAGTTAATATCAAAGTTCTTGATCCAACAATAAGAAAGAGACTGGGCAAAAATAGCATCCAGGGGAGTTCAAGGAGAAAACTACTGCTAACCAAAAGCAACACAAAGGCCTCCCTCACATTTCCCAAAAAACATCTTGATGAACCCCAAGACTTTTGGGAAATATTCTACAGTGATAAGAAAAAAGTTTAACTTTTTGGAGGCTTTTTGTCCCGTTATATTTGTCATAAAACTAACACAACATTTCACAAAAAGAACATCATTCCAACAGCAAATGTGGTGGTGGTAAAGTGATGGTCCGAGGCTGCTTTGCTGCTTCAGGAAGACTTGCTGAAATTAAACCATGAATTCTGCTCTCTGCCAGAAAATCCTGAAGAAAAACATCCAGCCATCAGTTCATGTCATGAAGCTCAAGTACACCTGGAGTGGATGAGTAGCTGTCCAAAGTTAAATTCGATTGAGATGCTTTGGCATGACCTTAATCAGACTATCCATACTTGAAAACCATCCTGTGTGGCTGAATTAAAACAAATTCACAAAGAGGAGTGGGCCAAAATGCCTTCACAGCGCTATGACAAAGTAAACACCAGTTATTACAAATACTTGCTTGTATTGTCTTTGTCTTTGTCTGAATCAATGACTGTTTTTCTACAGTCATTGGTCTGAATAATAGAAGTCTGAAAAATATGCACAAAAAAAAAGAAAAAGAAAAAGGAAACTGTGAAGGGGTCAAATACTGTAAATTTTATTTGTAATAAAAAGTTATTTTAAAGCTTTAGGTAATACATTTACCGGTACTAGGTTGTGACAAAGTAATTCAACGCACCTTTTACAAACCCTTTGTTAATAAACAACTAATATTATGTAGGTGTTTATTCATTTCTATTTTACCAGGCATTCAAAATCTAGAGATTCATAATCTCTATTGCCAGAGCTTCTTGGGCCCAGATGGCGCCTGTATATTAGGTGTCATACATCTAAACAGCAATACTAAAATAAAAAGTTGACAATAAACCATTTTGGTTGTTCTCTCTGTTACAGTATTCACATACATCCCTTTTTAGCCAGTTTTCTTCCTGTACAGGAAGTTAAAGTGCAAGGCAGGTAAAAGTCGGTGTGTGCATCACATGACCAAGGGCCAGCCAATCGGCAGGAGAGCTTCAGGTTTTTCCAGGTGCAGTTAGTGAACCGCAAGGCTGTCGTTTGCATATCCGCCTCGACTCTGTTTGTAACCATATAATAAGCCAGGAAAGTTGTGGTTTAGTGATGTAGTTAAACAGAAAACTCTGCACTCGGTTCAGTGTTCACCTGAGGACGGAGGAAGAGGGAAACAGCTGCCCGCTCATGGCTGTGATTTTAGTGGCTTTCACTTTGATGTGCTCCGGGTTATGGGACAGAGGTTTACTCGCAGTCGGTAAGGGTGTTATTTACTTATCACTTTTTAAGGGCAGGTTTAGAGTTTGCTTGGAGCACCTGCTTAACAGCTCCACAGCTGGGAGCTGTGGCTGTATTCAATGTATTCATTGTGGATGCGTTTTTATTATAAACTATTTATCGCGGTCATAGATGCTGATGAGTATGCTAAACAACCAGGTCAATGCACATGTGGTCATTGCGTGCACGCATGTCACTGTCACGCAGTCACATGCTGTTGCCCGGCAACAAGACCAGAAACGGACTTTAGACCCGGACGGGTTGAAAGAAAAAAAGAGAAGAAAAGGAGGAAAAGTCAAAAGGAGGAGCGAATATTTGTTGGTTTTTCCTTAACGTCACAATGTGCGCATGCGCTGACCAACTTGACCGACAGGTTAGGATTTAATAGAGCAGCAGCTGACATTAGTTTATCCGATGTGTTTAATTTGGTAAGGCTCATTTGTTTACACTGGTGTTTTTATTGATTATTATTATTATTATTGTTTGAATCTATTATAATCTAAGTCAGGGAAACACTCCTTTGCTCATCGTCTTCATGGGTGAAAGTGTAAACAACTTCACCTTCATACATCATTAACCTCTTACTCCAGGCCCTAAAAACTACACAGTGTCGTGTCGCTCCACAGAGTCTGTGCAAGCTGCTTGTATGCACAGACTGTATGCAAAATGTTTCTTTAAAAGGAAGTAAAGCCAATTTCGGGGGATTTTGGCCTGCATCCATTTGATCATACCGCATGCATCAGGGGTAGATTTGTGCTAATACTGTAGCCTTATTACATTGTGGTTTGTTTATGGGCCAAAATAACATAAATCCCATTCATACTAGATTGTTGGGCATCTGATTCAGTTTTTAGTGATGCAACAGTGCGCGGTGTCATGTTACCTTACATAACATGATACCTGATCAGCAAAAACAGGGGATAAAGGAGGAAAAAAACAGTATTGAACATCCTGATCATGTTTTGTATGCTTTGTGGTCTCATTTCAGGAAGTTGCTCTCAAGTCACTGCTATGTCCAGTGTAGAACAAATGGTTCCTCAAAAATCCTCAATTCCCTCGGCTATTTGATGACTTAACCCTGACAGGATCATTTAGATTAATTTTTCCATGATTGCTAGTTTTTAAACACTTCTCCTTGTTAATCCTATTAATTTATTTTATTTATATTTTTTATTTAACTTCATTGTTTGTTGATCTGTGTCTTCTACTGGAACAATGTTTGTGAGTAGTGTTTAAAGAGTGTAGGCTGTGTGAATTTGACTGTTAAATAGGTTGTCTGGGTAAGATGCAAACTAACTGCCCTTTTGGGGATTCATAAAATTAATTGAATCTAGATGTAAATATAAATATTAAGTCTTTCAATACTTTGAGGTGTAGCCTACAGATTTTATCTTAGGGATATAAATGCACTGACACGGACTGAATACTCTGTCCTAAGTAAACCTCTGTATTTCTTCTCTACGAAGGTCAAACTTGCGTGGATGAGAGTAGATTTAAAGAACAGGCGGCATTTGTCGGGCATCCATATCAACTACAGTGCCCTCTGAAGATTGTTCAGAGCACATCTCAAACACAGCTGACCTGGCAAAAGGACTGCGTGCAGCTCCCTACAAATGAGAGCAAAATCTACCTGGACTTTAATAGCCTAAATTTGGAAGACCAAGGAAATTACACCTGTATGCAACAGAGCAACAGCACGGTCACATTTACTGTGCGTCTCCTAGTTAAAGGTAAAGTAATGTTTCAGTGTGCTAGAGTAATTAAGTTATTTCGAAATCAATGAGCTGCTGTAGAGTTTGTGTGTGGATTTGAAGGGGTTAATTGAATGGATATACCTACAAACAGGTATTTTGTTTCAGCATGCCTTCTAGTAACAGGCTCAGGTGCTACCTGGCATGAAGGCCCCTATTGTCTGGAGATCTTGCAGTGAACATGGATAACAGCTGTGTGTCTTTACACAGAGTCTCAGTGCTCTAAGGCTCCAGAATTTAAACCTAACGGGGGCTCGACAACACTCTGGGAAAATGTGGGATCCACTGTGAAACTGAACTGCACTGCTCTCCTCTTCTGGGACCCAGCAGAGAAGCAATGTGACACCACGTTGCAGTGGAGTAAAGATGGTCATCCCCTCAATAACCACACACTTTCCTCGCTGAACACATCATCATGGTGATTTGAAGCCGTTGAATATTAGCTTGGCGAAAGTTAATAATGTACCTGTGTTTAGACCTGTGCTTAATCTTCTGTCTAACTATATCAGGTCTCCCGGTGCCAACCAGCTGATGGTAAATAGCTTCCTAGTGATCACCCTCAGAGAGCTGGAAGATTTTGGGCTGTACAGCTGCACAGTGAGGAACATTTCTGCTGACTTCAGTCTGAAGAATCTAGGTAAAAATAAAAAAACAAACAAGTTTCTCAAATAGGAGTTGA